AGGCACCTTCAGTTTTCTGAACTGGGATCATTTGAAGAAAGTATAACATTACCTATTAGAGTGAGTAGCTGTGTCTGTGAGGTTTGGGATGGGTGAGCAACTTTATCTTATAATTCCAAAGGCAGTGATACGTAGAAAAAAAGTTCAGGGACAGAAGTCGTAACAACGAAGGTAGCTATGGGTCTTGGAATGCACTGTCATTGTGACTGAAGCAGAAACAAATAGGACATGTGTTTCTTTGATCACTTTTGTACCCATACTGTTATTCTGTGGCTTGGGACATTTCCCCCTGCTTATTCTGTGATGATTCAGTATGGACTCAGAAGGTAGATAATGTTTACTTTATCCATAAAAATGCCAGCCCTGCCCCCTTTTTAGTCATTCTAATACTGTGTCACACCCTCAGCACTTCCATCTCGCTCTGACACCCTCACAAACAATAGATGTTGCTTTCTTGACTACATCTGAAGTACCTTTGGAGTAAAATCTCCATACCAGTTTAAAAAAAAAAAACAACTCTGCAGAATTACAGCTTCTTCCTCAGCAAACCTTGGATTAAATCCATGTTTGGAGAGAAATACTATTTATTTGTCTGTAGTGACCAAAAAGTTGAATCTCATGTTGAACAGTGGTATGGAAAATGAGAGCTGTTATGAGTATTTTAGACAGACAGACAGACAGACAGACAGACAGACAGACAGACAGACAGACAGACAGACAGACAGACAGACAGACAGACAGACAGACAGTTAGTTTTATGAGGAAAACAGCAAATCTGGAGCTGGATTATTGTGGAGGCAAGTGTAATAGTATACTGACGCATAATACACTTTCTTCAAGGATACAGTCTTTAAGAGAATATTGGTTAAAATAAAATGCTTAACACACGAGTAAAGTATTGGTTTCCATTTATTAAATCCTATGTCGATGGCTGATACCCAGTGTGGTATACTGGATAGAGCCACAGACCAGGACTTAAGACCTAGGTTTGAATCCCTGCTCAGCCATGGAAACTCACTGTAACCACTGTAAAACAACTCCTGAAATATCTTGCTTACTTTGAAAACCCTGTTAGGGTTGCTGTAACTCAGTTCCAATTTGACAGCACAGAACAACAATATCAGTGGCCACTGTATTAATCCCCCCACTTTGCTGGGGGACATGAATGGCAGAGGACGGTGTTGTCCTGATGTCCTTCTTGCATGCTTCCCATAGGCCACACTGTCAATAATAGTGGTGGTGATGGCAATGAAATAAAGGAGAGAGGAGGGGGAGGAAGATTAGAAGCATCTAATGCTAACAAAATACATGCGGAATTGTGGTTGGTACTTCTAGATGAGGTATTTATTGTGGAATTTGCTTTGGCGTTTACATTTTACAGGAGGTCTACGTAATGTCAACCCGTGTAATGATCCTGTGTTTGTCCAGTATCACTTCTTTTTTCTTAATAGCAGGAAACTGAAAAGGGAAAGGATAGAAGAATAATACCAGGGGTCACAATACAAATCTCATTTTACTTTTTGGTGTCCGTTTTATGTTCTGGCAACACATTATTAAATTTGGACCTGGTGTTCTCAACTGGTCCGGGAGAGTGTGATCCAAAGGTAACTGCCTTGATTTTGATTCTCTTGTCATGGTTGGACCACCGCCTGATAAAATTTAATCTTTCAGTAGCACTCCCTCTCCGTGGGGAGCAGGGATGAATAGTCTGCCCCCTCAAGCTATTGGATCTTGTTGGATGCAATGCGGGGGAATACCGGCTGATCTAGCTGGTGCTCCTGTCGAAGCTCTGGTGGATGAATGGTATGCAGCAGCCACCAGGGTGGCTGACATGATTGCTCTTAAACATCCCTGCCACTCTCAACCCCAACCAGCTGCTTGGTCTAATCAGCAGCTGCGGGTGTTGAAGCTAAATAGGAGGAGGCTAGAGAGCAACGGCAGCCAATCTAAAAGCTGCAAAAATTGCATCTAGCATCTATCTAGCCAAAGGGAAGGCTACATGAAGATCCTACTTCACTCTTCAGATAAGTGAAGGTCAAGACCATCAAGTCAAACTTGTTTGCTTTGTATGCGATTTATCCAGAGTTGGTCACAGTGATAGGCCTCCCAATAGCATTTCCTGTGACCAGTTTGCAGCCTTTTAAAAACATAAAGTGGAAGTCATTTGCTGGGACTTGGATCTCCTTATCAGTAGATCGAATCAAGACGTCCTCTGCATTGGTAACTTTACCCATCTTGCCTGGTAACTTTAACACAGTTTCAGCCCGTGACGTCAGCTGAGGTTGACAGGGTGCTTGACCGCTGTATGGCCGCCACCTCTTCACTAGACCCTTACTCGGCCTGGCTCCTGAAAGCAACCAGACTATTAACGGCAGAATGGGCAGAAGCTATTGTCAATGGTGTCTCCTTTGCCTCAAGGAGACACTCATTAAGCCAATTCTGAAAAAGCCCAACTTGACAGCTGATGATGTTAAGAACTAACAATCCATTCCAATCCAGGTTCAGGCCGCATCATGACATGGAGAGGACACTGGTCACCCTGCAAGATGACCTTCTAAGGGAGGCCAATAGTGGCAAAACTTTCTTGTTGGTCCTCCTCAACCTGTCAGTGGCCTTTGATACCATCAACCATGTTATCCTCTTGGGGACGCTCTCCACTTTGGGTACCAGAGGTCAGGCTTTGGCCTTCCTGGAGGGCTGTCCCCAACGAGTTCATCTTGGGGAGATGCTGTCCGCTCTGTGGACTCTCAATTGTGGAGTCCTACAGGCCTCAGTCATCTCTCCAATGCTATTTAGCATCTATATGAGGCTGCTGGGGAAGGTCATTGGGATTTTGGGGGGTTTGTGTCACCAATATGCGGACGACACTCAGTTCTATCTCTCCTTTCACCCTTCTGGAGAGGAGACCATCCCCTCGCTTGAGGACGCCGTACTGGGATGGATGAGGGATAATAGACTGAGGCTGAACCCAGACAAGATGGAAATTCTGTAGGTTGGGGCCCCTAGTGTCTGCGGTCTGGGCACCTCCCTCTCTTTCGGGGGGGGGCTACTCCTTCTGTGAAGGATGAGGTGCATAGCTTGCGCATACTCCTGGAACTGGCACTGTCTGTGGGATCGCAGATAGCATTGGTGGTTCGTTCTGCCTATTACCATCTAAGGCAGATTGGCCCCTCACCACACTAGTTTGTGCATTGGTATTCTCAAGACTAGACTACTGCAATGCCTTCTATGTGGGGCTGCCCTTGGGGTGCTGCAGAGACTTGAGCGGGTCCAGAACTCAGCAGCCAGGTTGTTGAGTGGGTTTAGGAAATACCAACACATCTCCCCCACATTGGCTGCCTAGTACTGGTTACTCTCTGCTTAGTTTCAAGGTGATGGTGTTAAACTACAAGTCCTTAAATAGTTTAGGACTTCGCTATCTGGCAGAGCACCTCCTTCGAATTAGATCTGCCCATCCTGTGAGATTGTGACAGGCAGGGTGGTTGAGAGTTTGGACCCCGTGAGAGGCCTGAAAAGTGACTACCACAAACTGGGTCTTCTTGGCAGTCGCCCCACAACTATGGAGCAGCTTCCCGCCCAAAATCTGCCTGGCCCCCTTATTCCGAACCTTTAAAAAGCTATTTAAAACATGGCTATTTAGCCAGGCCTTCTTGGATCTTATAAGAACATGATACAATAGTACCTCAATATCTTAACGTCCAATTTACCATCATGTTTTTATTCTAACTTAAATTATTTTTTCATTTCATTTTATCTCATGATGTTTTATGGTGTACTTTATTGTTATTTGTTTTTCATTTCTTACATTTTATTTGGTAATTGTTGTATACTTTTGTTTATTCTCTCATTGATATTGTTTATCTTGTAAACCACTCAGAGTGGCCTTGGCTGCCAGATGGGCGGTATAGAAATCCAATCCAATCCAATCCAATCAATCAGTCAGTCAGTCAGTCAATAAATCAATTGGCAATTTAGCTGGTGATTTCTAGGCAGTAGCCTCAGGATACCTACAGTTTTTCAGTTTGCAAGTGTCATTAAACGGCAGAATAGTTTTAATTTGGCAAATGGAAGTGTTATTTGGTGAATAAGCAGCAAAGGAAATAGAAAAGCTGGAATAACCCCTGTAATTCAGTCTTCACAGGTGTAGATGCTCTCAGCATACTCTTATGTTTTGTTTTGTGTCGTGTTTTTTTTAACTTTGTGGTTTTTACCTTAGTCAGTAGCCCATCAGGCAGGTGAATTTGTGATCATTCAGTGCACATTAGGTGTAACCTTTGTGATTGGTACCATTTCTGTCACCCGCTTATTTTTTAAATTAAGCTTTGAAATAATGCTAAAACACTTCTCCAAAGTTTTAAAATATTAAATAATAGCAGGATACCACTTTAATCTAGTGCTGAAGTACAGGAATGTTGTAATGATATGTAGAATAAAAAATTCACATGCTGCCTTGTGTAACTTTTTTATTCAACTGCTGGCACCCTGTTTATGGGGAATATCAAAGGAAAGGAAGTTCTTATCTGAGTGTGTTTGTCCAAATCTACTGTTGGTGACTTCCCGGTGTGAGCTCTTTGCTGGAATCTGGGGGTGCACGTTTTTGAGACACTTGTCTTACATGATCATAACACTAGAAAGGCCGGTGCCTTGCAAATGCAGCAAAGAGTTTGAGAGGGTGGATGAATTAATTACCTATGAGCCGCTGGAAGTCTCCAATCGAAGTACTTCACTGGCTCAGCCTTTATTTCCTTCTACATCCAATATAGTCACATGAAAACAGAGAAGGCAAATTTGTATCTAAAAGAGAAAGAAGGAAGATGAGGGAAAGTGTTTCATTGGAGGGTCTTTCTAGATCCCTGCTCTGTTTAAAACATCCAAGAGCAGTTGGGTGATAAAAAAATGACTATGGAGTCAAGCTTTGGGGACAGTGAGTGGGGGCAGTATTGTCAAATGTTTGACACCAGAGGCTGAAAATAAGCTTTATTTTCTTATGTCTTTTCTAGTCTCTGTCTGCTGCTGCTTCTTTATACTGTTTCTCTTCTTGTCTGAGCTTACTGGATTCATAGCCACTGAAATGTAAGTATAAGCTATTATTATTGTTGGTTTGCCTGATTTTTAAAAATAATCATTTAACTGTATACCTCCTTTGTAGGTCTGATATCTCTAAATGTACAGCCTCAATAATACAAAGATATATGATCGTCATATAATATTGTATATATAGTTCCCAAATGTGTAAGTAACCTCTTTTTGTATATCAGAATATCATACATGACAAAGATAATACTCCTAGGATTTACGTCTTTTCCTAGTTTTAGAACTCGGCTATTGAGACCTGACAATTATTTCCTGATTACACATTAAGGCTTGTGGTTCATTATTCACTAGAGGATGGGGTTGAGGTCAGAAATAAAGTACCATGAAGGAACAAAGATCTTCCATGATGGTCATATCCGTTCTCTCTGGACTTGCCTCTTGAGCAAGCGTAGCATATCAAAGTAGCTCAGTGCTGGCTCTCTGATGACTAAAGATTTTCCGTAAGGCTTTTCAGCTGATCTCTGGGTTTGCAGCCCTTTTAATTCTGTCTGATTCCTGGATTTCATTGAGAACGCTGTGGTTTGACAGCTGATTTCCCATCATTTTTTACAGTATGTATTGTAAATATGTTTGGCTTGGAAATGTTGCAGTTTTTTTAATTGTTCAGGGGTTTGTTTTGAGCAGTTTTCTGGATTTTCTATAAATCAAAAGATGAAACAGAAGCGAATTCAAATAGATTTTGGTATGTTCTTTGTCATAACATTAATTTTTGAAATATATTTCTCTTCAAATATGGTTTAAAAAACAAAAGTATTTAAGTGAATTCTCTGTGCTTATATCATGCTGTTGACTTTCTCCTTGAAATTCTCCTTAAGAAGAACATAAAATACCTTCAACAATAATGTTTAATGGAATGTATCCATTCTGGGTAATGAGTTACTCACTAGCATCCTGTCCATATCATGACGAGCTCAGTGTGTTGCCTGTGACACACCATTTTTAAGTTGTTGGGTATGAATGAATTTACCTAGAACAGATCACTTGAACAAATAGATTGTGATGTGAGGCCACTAAAAGATCATGTGCACCATGAAGCTCAATGATAGCTGAAGTAAACAGAGGGAGAAATGTCAGCACTCCCTGGATTTTTTTGCTTCAAATCTCTCTCTTTTTTCACACTGCAAATCTGTTTTTACCTGGATTTTATTTGTGTACCATCTCTCTATCTAGGTGGACTGATCTTCAGTATTTTTCATGTCCGAAATCTGTAGGAATATTGAATGTTTTTGATTACTGGAAATAACAGTAATAGTAATAGTAATAATAGTAATAGTAAAGTGTGTCAAAATGAAAAAAAATCTAAAAGAAATGCTTTGTGTGAGAATGAGTGTAAGGAAATGCATTAAAGACTTTGTGCTTGTTAAACTTCTTTTCTCGTCTGTTTATTCTCTTAATTACTATCATAATGGAGAGTTGTGCTCATTTTGCTTTGCCCTTGAAATCTGTAATGTGGAAGGGAGAAACCCTAATCGGAATACAAAGGACCGAACAATAGATCACATCAGTTGCTTTTGTAATTCTGTGCTTAAATGCAGGAATGTTTTCTGACAAATAGCTAGTGTGAGAGGCTTGATCCTGATTGCAACCCTAGTTCAGGGTCCATTCCTTTTTCTAACTGTGAATTTCAAACAGGCGTGGTATGAACAGATGATCCAGAGTAAGAGGCCTGCCCTCACAATTTGGTTTGGGAGAAAAGAACCCCATTTCTTCTTTTTTCTACACAATCTCATAGAATTTATTCTTTCAAGGTTTTACATTTTATATATACTGTCCATTATATTGTATTTGTGAGGTCTTGCGCACTAGTGCTTTAGCCTGCTATGCCATGCAAAATAAACAAATAAATAAAATGGGCAGGATGGAGGCAAGGATCAAAAGCCCACTTTCTCTTCATGCCAAGGTTCCCTCCCATAGTGCAGAGCAGTGGGATGCCTGGACTTAAGAAGGTAATATTGTGTAGTTGCGTACCTGTTCTGGGTGGTTTTTAAGGACAGAGGAAGCATTTTCTGAATGAAAACTTGATTTGAATGCACTCCCCGTGGCTCAGCAGAGGCATAACATTTCCTTATCTGTTAACTGGTAATTTCTGCCAGAACAGAACTTTTTGCTTGAAGTGTCATGTGGGTGGAAAAATGGTGTCGATTCCCTTGGGTAAATCACAGCGCCAGGAAAGGCCTGTGGAACACAAACCTTGGTCATATCATGCAATTATCAGCAGGTCCGTTTTGACAATGCAGCAGTCACCTGAAGAGCGAGTTGGCAAGGATTCAAGGCTACCTCAACCAAATGTAAATCCCCGTCTTGTAGAAATCTCTCAGCAATGATTGGCTGATCCCTTTCTGGTTCAGACGTTCAGCCTAGACTTTGAACTCAAATAGCAGCTAGTTCTTGGTGTGTCTGAACACGAGACAGTGCCCTCAGCTGTGCACCATTGAGGGCAGGCAAAAGGGGTGAAAGGTTGTCAGAGAGACATTGCAAGGTAGTATAATTATTATTGAACTCCTCCCCTTAGTCCCAACACAAGGAAGTTGTAATGGATAATTTTTGTTATTTTTGAAGCTCTTTGTTTTTGCTGCACATGTTTTTGGTGGGGTGTTTTGCTGCAGCAGCAAAAGGAGCAATGAGCCTGGTATATGGTTTTTTTGGCTGTGAAACAGACATTGTCTAGACCAGTGGTTCTCAAACTGGAATACCCAAATGTTCTTGGACTGTAGTTCCCAGAAGCCTTCACAGCTAGCTGTGCTGGCCAGGATTTCTGGGAGTTGCAGTTCAAGAACATCTGGGGGACCAAGTCTGAAGTCCCCAGGTATTCTTGGACTACAACTCCAAGAAATCCTGGCCAGCACAGCACAGTCGAAGACTATCTGGGGACACAAGATTGGGAATCACTGGTCTAGGAACTTGGCAAATCTTTTGTTTTTGTTGCCGGAAGCAGTGTGTATGTCCGTTTGAGAAACCTTGGCATTTTAATGATACATTCGGACTTCTTGCCATTTGACTGACTAGCAGAAAGACTGAATGCAGTGTCATACATTTGTAATAAGTGTATTGTGATTTGTAATAGCAACATTGGGAGTGAGGTATATAGTGGATTGATGTGGTCACTTAACCCCTTTCTCTCTTTTTGTTTTTGTTCTGTTGAAGAAAGGAAGAAGCAGTGAAAAGCAAACAATCCCACAAGAGTGTTTCCGGATTTAGCTAATGCTGAAGCATTTAAAATATGGAAAACATTCATTTTGCTTCTGCTTCCGTTCAGAATTGTTGCCTTTCAGGCTTTCCATACTTATTTTTTGCCATTGTTAAATCTCCCCAGGCAAATCTTTCTTCCATCTCTCCACTTAGAATGTGGCACTTACTTGTTCTAATTAGTATGTGCTGGTGCACTAAAAGAAACTTTACTTCCGTTCCTGGTGCCGTCTGTCTGTTGAGGCTAATATTAGTGTTTTTCCTCTTGTGCAATGAAAGAAAACATTTCTCCATAGCAAAAAAATGCTTGTATGTGAAATGTGGTAATGTGGAAATAACTGTGCTTTTGTGAGACCCAGTGTTTTAGGCCAGAGGCATATAAAGGCCTTTGATTGCTAAATGCTAATCATCTATAAATGCCATAGGTAAAATTCTTTTTCTCTGGCATTGAGCAGTAGGTTTCCTTGGACATTCATTTACTGTTATCTTGGGGCCAATGCGATTTGCTTCCCAGTGACACACTATTGTGATTTTTTCAGTTTTAAAGCACTATAGATTTTGTCATGTATATGGAAGGTGCTCTCCCCCCCCCCCAAAAAAAAAGTTATGTGGAAGTGGCAGTCTTGGCACAGAAAGGTTAAAACTGAGGATAAAGGTGGGCTGGTGCAGAAGAGTTTGATTATTGCATTAGGAAAATTAATCACATCTGCTATGTAAGTAATGTTAGTGACTCTGGTGGCTATAAAATGAAATTGGAAACTACTTTAAATAAAGAATTAAATTTCTGGCTTAATTACGTATCCACCCAAATGAGGCTAGATGCTTCAGCTCGTGTGTGCCATGCAACTCCAGGTAGTTTTGAATGATACCAGATTATTATAATCTATTTCAAGCAAGCAAGTCTGCATTTGACAAGAAGGTGAGCTCTGTTCACCTCAGTTCTCCTCTGGTGTTCAGTCTTGCAAATTCCAGTGGTGTTTTTTTAAAAAAACTGTTTCCAATATAGGTATTGTTCTTTCTAGATGTTGGAGGGACTATTGCTCAGTCCCTTAGTTATCATGTAAGTGGGCAATTTGATTTTATACTCCCCTTCCCTATTTAATATTTGCATGAAATCACCCAATCCTTGTTTCCTGTTTGCATACCAAAGGGCTCTGTAGAATATTTATCTGTTCATTCAGTTTGTATCCCGCATTTCTTCAAATTCTGGAGCATAGGGCAGCTAACAAGATATAATAATAAAATCATGGTAAAGTACAGAAATAAATCCCCTTAAAATCAGTCTTAAATTAAAAGTATAGTGAGCAATTTGTAGGATGACTTGTAAATGCACTATACATTGAGATCCAAATGGCTGTACAAACAAGAATGAATCTTCAAACTTGGTTTAAATAATTGGAATGTAGGGCTGATCTTACGGTCCCTAGCAGTAAGTTTTATAAATGGGATACCACCTGGATAAACATTGCCCCTCTCTTGTTATAAAAAAAATCAGTTTATTTCTCCCCCCCTTGTGTGCATGTTTCTGCCTTGTTTTGTGTCCTGGGTAAGTCTGTGAACCCATGGAGGACTCAGAGAGGAGCACTGGTTGGCACTTGCAGCACCTCTGCGTATTTTGTCTGTGCTCACTGTTAAGGTACGCAAAGTATCTAATTCTTTTGGGGTAGGGTGAATGCAGGACGCTTGTGCATTCTGACAAAAGAACCACACTTAAAGTGCTAGAGGTGAAATCTGTTGTCCCTGTAACCGATTAAGGTGACATGGAGATTGATACCCACTTTGCAAGGGCTCTC